CCACAATAACCATTTTTTATCCTTTACTTTTTACGAGAAATAATGGCTTATTTACGAAGCGATTTTAAGCAATACAGCATTAATCCTTATCCAGTTAAGTACTTTTAAATACATTGTGCATTTAATAAAGGCCTTTACAGCATGTAATTGAAATGAATATTTTCGAAGATATTACAGATTTAAAATGCAGGAACATAGCGGTTGCGGCGGTACCGGCCGGTTTGTATTGTCTAATGACAAAAAAGCTGTGATTGTTATAAGTATATAAAGACATTCTATAATATATTTACTATCAGCATTGCACCCGTGCGAAGCATAGTGTACAAATAATCCCATTAAACCAATTCCTTAACCCCTATGTCGGTATGTTTGTGTGTTTGAAGAAGTTTCACTTCAGTAGCGTGTTGTATAATTACACGTTGTATTTATCTGACTATCGGGACCTTACTTAAAATAGTGAATTTGGCTCAGCTGTCCAAAATACAGAATTACTGAATGTGATAAAGAAAATAATTATTGTAACTATGTTTGATTTTGTGATGAATCTGTTTGTTCATTTGTTGTTAAAACAAACATAAAAGTACTCTGAGGATTACACCTTTAGTGTTAAAACGCGCTTTATTTGTTTCGTTGCCATGTGGAATTTTGGGTTTTAGTGTTTTACTCTATATGATTTTTTTGGATTCAGTTAGGTAACAAAAATTAAAAACTTGCTCACTTGTTCTTTCCAGTGGGTTGTAGTTGCATCGCTTCTTTTTCCATTTTGTGCAGTTTCACAAAAAAATTGACAACTAAACTACCGTTTTACCTTTCGTCACGTCTTGTTGAACATTCTAATAATGTGCTGTAAATAAATTCACTGCTTTAAACTATTGAAACACAAAATTTATATTAAATAACATAATATTATTAATACTATNAGTGCTTGTGTATATATCGCATTAAGTAAGAATTTATAGTATATTCATAAATAAAGCAATAAATATGTAAGTACATCACAAAATTTTTTCACAAGTTTAATTTTTTGAGTGTTATTTATTGAACAAAACAGCTAAAAAATGTGAGTAAAAACAAAACAAAAAAAAATAAAAATAAAAACGTGTATTACGTATTTTAACATGAATGAAAGAAAACAACTGAATTTATAATTTTATATAATTATTTTTTTTTATAGTTTTTTCTAAATAGACAGATAAGTAATCAGTTGGGAATTTTTGAACTTAAACTCAAAGAAGATAAAAAACTACCTACGTTTTCCATCTCGGTTAAGATTTTAAAAACTTACCCGGTTGAAAAATGATTCTTAAATTTAACCCGTTAACTGTCAGTGGTTTTTATTTCAACCAATGCTACAAATATTCAAATAATTTGTATTAGCTTATCACTACCGAGACCTAATGTACTTGTGATTATCCACAGGCGGATGTTTCGAACTGCTGGGAATCATTCACTTGTTTTAAATTGTTGCTGAATCGTTATCTTTCTTACTTGTTCAGTCCGAACAAAGATAAAAAACACTATGCTAATCTTGTCTCCCAATTATGTACTAGTAGTAGTAGTAAATAGGTACTAATAAAACGTATACATACATACCACTGGCACCAATCATTAACGATACATAAGTCTAATATGTACGCATATGTAGCAGACAAACGGTTATTTAAATCAAATGGTATTTGCCTAGGCAAATAGCTTTCGACCAGGCAAATTATTTCAACAATTTTTGTCAAATTTCTAAATGTACATAAGTGTGTGTGATTAATTTTTTCTGGGAGGAAGGGAGGATAGGACTATTGATAACCTATAAAAAAGAGTAACGCATATTGACAATACTTCAATCAAAATATGTGGAAATTTACCTTATAATTAATAAAATTACAATTACCTTTCCAGAAAATATTAATTTACCTGTTCATGTTTATGTAAAGTTAATTTTTTTGTTTGCGTTCTTAATACTTTAAATAATACTGTATACTATCAGAGATGAACAAAATAGTTGTTTAATTAGTTTTTATCGCAGTGGGCGTCTAAATATAATTATTTATAGTAGCGTAGTACTAAGCTGTTGATAGTTATTTTATTAATCATTTCACAACCGTCACTTTTTACATTCTCCATCGATGTAGCTGCTTGGTTGTTATCCCAATTTCTCTGTGCGTTACCAATTCACGTCCAGGGCCGGCTTCAAATTGCAATTTCTTCAGAAACACCGAGCGCAAAGTGGGTTCTGACATATAGGATCACAAGGTTACGGTTGGCGAAGACAACATGCACTATGTTCTCATGTATAAGTTTCATTTTATGTTGACATATCATCAATCTTATAACCTTGACCATGCATTTATAATAGTTAATATAGTATTTTTCAATTTATATGAATAAGAAAAATAATAAAGTTAACCTCAACAAAAACTGGCGGGAACAAAACAACCAACGGTGAAATAATTTCCTTACCATTTGTCTAAAATGTTACTAGGGAAGTAGGCAATTGGCATCTAGTCGAATAATTTGAAATAATAATTAAAACAATTTTCCTGGTGAAAAGGTAATTTGCCTAACGAATTGTCATTTATCCGAAATACCCATTTGTCTGCGGCACGTAATGTATAATACATGCAAGAATATTACAAGGGTATTGATTAATCTTAACTTTTAAATTTAGATCTAACATATGTTTTCTTAACAAAACTGACTCAGCGATTTGGGCTGTGCCATGATTTTTACACCAGGCTTTCAACCTCGTTTTCAATAAATGCAGAGTAGGTACCTACACGCAAAAAGCCATTGCATGTTGCATGTAGCATGCTCGGCATAAAATATGCATATATTAAAGCAAGAATATTGGTAAATCTTAAGTTTTAGTTGTAATTCATAAGATTTACCAACACGTGTTGGCAAATGTAAGGATTGATATAAAATGAGACTATTTTTCGGTTAAAAGACCAGTTTGGTAGATATGTGTTAGATTTTACCAAGCCGATTAGTAAATGTTTAATGTAAATGTAAATCAGGATGGAAGGAGTACTGGAGATATAAAACAAAGGATAACGTAGAGTCTAGTCGCCGAAAAGATTGTTTAAGGTATATGTATGCGAAACGTAGACGGGCAAGGCGGAAAAGAAAAGGTTAGAAGCTTTGAAAATATGGAGTTGTAGACGAATGATGACATGATGGGGATATCGTAGATAGAGAAAGTTACAAATGATGAGATATTGGAAACAGTAGAAGAACGGAGGACAATATAAGTCGATAAGAAATAGGTGAGATTGAGTGGTGGGACACCTCAGGTATGAGAGGCTAATAGTTAGAGACACATCAGAAGCAGAAATAGGAGTTAAGAGGAATAGAGGTATATCTAGAGTAGATTGCTGTTGACAAATAGTTAAGGATGTTAGGATGTTCTAATTGTAGAGAAATGCGAAGATTACCTCAGGATAGGAAGAAGTGGAGGTGCGTGTCCAACCAGTCTTAGGACTGACGACCCTATGATGATGATGAAACATGAACATTATGGATTAAGTTACGTATATAACTTTGAAACATGTTTAAAATGCTTACTGAGAAGTAAAATATAGTAAAACAAACTAAAATCATTTTTTTTTCTCATACAACTATAATTATACCTGCGTTTTAGCTGAGCTACTCTTTTGTGATTGTTCTTACCTTTTGGTATTATTAATTGTCATTTATTAATAGTGAAAAAAAGGACTTTACTTGTTACATCATGACGAATTGTTGTAGTATTTAGGCACTTGCATGTTTTGGATCCTTGACTCTGTCAAAGACAACTTCTTTCTCACTTCCTTATCCTTATTCTCTTTGTTTTTGTTTATGTTACTCTATTTTATATTTTAAACATAAGTATTTTAAAATTGTGTAATAATAAATAATTTCTAATTAAGTGTACCTATTACATTGTTTTATTTTCAAAATCATTATTTGCTGATCGTCATAGGTAAAGCCTAGCACGTACTAAATCCTAATGGTAAAAGCCCCAAAAATCATCTTCCTTCAAATCAACCCTTACTTTTAGTAGCTGATGTCCGTAAATCCTAAGATTAACAAGTACAAACTAATAAGATTTACTAACATTCGGAATTTACACAAAATAGCTGGTATTCCTTTCAGAAGAAGAAACCATCACTAATTTGAAATGATTTAATCTCTATCAATTGGGAGTCGAAAATGCGCCATTTTCGAGAAAATCTATTTCGGTTTTCTTGCTACAGAAATCCAAATTTTGGGAGTAAAAAATTAAAAATCAAATTATTCTTATATTATGGTTTGATTTTGTCCATGATCTGATATTTTACTAATTAGCCAATCTTCCTATGTTGTGTTCTAAAACTTACAATAATAAAAAAATAACACGAAAATTCTTCACAGAAGTTTTATTATCATAAAAAAATGTAACACATATTTTAACAAACAACATAAACTCTAACAGTAAATTTCGTAGTTTTACGTACGTATTAAGAAGGTTGACCAATTAGTAAGCTAGGGAAATTCAGACCAAAATTTCAATTTTTGTAAAAGGGAAACCGAAGATTATTTTGACCCTCAAGTGATAGATGTTATGATTAATCATTCCAAATTAGTGATAGTTTCTTTTCCCGAGAGGAATACGAGCAACTTCCTGTCACCCTGTATATGTCTATTATATACTGTAGTCACTCTCAAGCCTAAACCAATGATATATTGCATAAATCTGGTTTTCGTTATGTAATTGTTTCTCAATTGTTTACTAACGAATTTAATTCAAGCATAAGTTGATAATTTAATTTTTACTTCTATTTCGGTTAAAAATAATTTTCCATCGATTAAATCCATTACAAATCCATTAATAATAATAATAATGAACATCACGATGCCATATGCATATATATACTTTATCAGTTTGGAAATATTCTCCTAAATTAAGATATTAGGTAATGTTAGAAACTCTTGATAAATTCGTCTTGTAAATTTATGTTTATTCAATTTCATTTCATTTCATAAACAATGCAGTTTGTTATTTGCGAATGTTAAGATAGTGAAATCATTAGAGGATTACTTTTGTATATTCAAAGCCCAAAAGAGTATGTAACTGGCTAATTGTCAACGGTTTTGTCGATTTCAACTTTATATTGTTAAAGTCGGCTAAATATGAATAATAATGGGAGAAAGGAGGAAAATTCGGTGATTCTTACGAAGGAGTAGAAGGGATAAACGTAATCTTCTTTTAAAATTTCGGCTTGTATTGAGTTACCTATCAGTTAGTCCAGTGGATGACGGTATATAACGATAGGGAATTACCTCCAAAATCTTTGGGGTAGCATCGATTTTAATTAAAATTGGTAATTAAGCCTATCTTACCCTCCTCTATGAAAGTTATAAGTATCTGATGTGTGCGTTTTATTTTTAAGGGGTGGGAACAACTCGTTTTGTCAAACAATTGAAAAACAATACATTTAAGCAATACTATGATAAAATAACATTCCAATATGTGCAATAACTTTTCTTTCATATACTGGTATATAAATGATGAGTAATTTAGATGTTCCAACCCTTAAAAAGACTGCCCTCAACGGCGAAGTCTACAAAAAATTAGTTTCAACAGTTTCAAATTTATTGATGCTGCATTTATGATGAATTAATATCTCCTCTTTGTCCATAATAACTTTTCTACTTTATGCAACGTCTAAACCTATAAGAACTACTCCTTACTGTAAAATGTGTAGAAACACGATCAGTATTTTAAGTAGTTATCACTTCCTCAATTTTGTAGATAATCCACTCGCACACAAACTTAATTTGCAGGTAATTTCAAGGACTACAAGGCCTGCAAGCTTCAACTGTCTTGAACCTTTATTTTTTGAGATTTAAAGGTTTAAGTGTCTCGGAAAACTTGATCCTCATTATAATATACCAACTTATAACGACGATACCTCAAATAATTTTCATCGTAGAAAAAACAAAAACCAGCAAAAATTTTGTGCAAGGAAAAGTCTACTATTTTGTACAGATGCTTTTTTTTCATATATTACATCGTTGTTTAGTTATTAGAGAAAAAAGAAATGTTTTCAGAAATTCCGAAATTTCTGTCTAACGTAAATCAAATTAATTTTCAAAAATAAATATATTATTAGTACCTTAATTGAGCTAGTTGTACTTGGATTACGTTTATTTTCAGTTTTCGCCGTAAAGCCTTTGGTTTCATAGCTGATTTTTTTTCCGGATAAAGGAGAGAACCGTATTGTTTTTACTATTTAAGGTTTTCTCCAAAAATCCGTTGTTACTCAATTATTTAATGTGAAAGGGTTCGAATTCAGTTTTGGGCGATCAAACAGTCATCTTTAACGATTCATATCTCTAGTTCTACTTAATGTATAGAAACAAAAATCTGCATTTTTTTGATGAAAAAACAACAATTTCAATTGCGAATAACTAGGAAAAGCATTTAATTATACAAAAATATAATAAAATAATTCGAAGTGGTCTGTATTCTGTCGAAAGTGCCAGACGCGGATCGCGATTTCGATCTTTTTGGATCTCATCAGCGCGTCGTAGACAGAATACAGACCACTTCGAATTATTTTATTCGATTATGGTAA